AATAACGAATAATAACGAATGATAGATTTTCAGTTCGGGGGTTGCAACCCAAGAATATGTGTCATAGCGAGAGAAGGCAATCAGCATAACGCAGAAAAAAAAACTTTGCTTTTGGGAATAGAAAGGATTGAGAAGGCAAAATGAAGTTGGTCTTCTTTGATTGTTCTTATCTCTACATACTCGGCTTATTCTTGTTCTTATGCTTATGCTTTAATTAAGCCGCACGTTTGACTTCATGCCTTTGTCTTTTCTTTTGATCACGGCTTATGACTACGCTTATGTTCTACTGARAATCAGACTTCCCTGCTTGCAATATTTTGTGGCACGAAACACTGTATTTTTGGATTAAAATCATTTTGATAGTAAAAATCTAAACAGTATWTCGTTTGAAATAATGATTAATCAGCGAGGTTGACCAGACTACGAGTTGATGTTCCATGAGGCCCTACTCTATCCAAGAGAAAGTCCTGTCGCCCAATAGTTCTCGAGTACCGAGTGGTCTAATTATTTTAGTATCAAACAAACTATTGGTTGAATTTGAAAAAAAGAACATCAACAAGAAGTTTTCTCGACATTTTCTTCTGTTATTTTCGTTTCACTTTATGCAACCATGGTCTATCATAAATATACCATAGTCCAGTAGCCAATCGGAATGCATAGTTTGATGGATACTACAAGCACTCAACCATAACAACCTAGCTCATCATTATTCAAAAGTGATTATGATTGAATTTGCATACAAGCCACSTTCTGTTTATTCTAGTATTTTACTTTCTTCGATAAAACATAGCACTTTTTTACTAGTTTGACTTACCTAATAATGTTTCATACAAATCAGGAACCGYCAAGAAAACAACGATGACAAGAAGCGATAGAAATACCAGAAAAAGAAGACATTTTTTGGGCTTAAAGATCATTTGCCCAGCACCAACTTGGACACGTCGCTTTTAATTCGGAATTCTCTCTGAAAGAATTAAGCATACATGTACATATGCGATGATGTCTTAGCAGTATTGAAGCTAAGCAGTTTGAAGATTTTTTTGTCATCAACATCTGCAGGTGCCTCTTGCAACCATAGTTAAATTATGCTACAACGAAAAGCAAGTCAAACCTACTATAAAGTAAAATTAAAGCCACTGTGCAAAGATTTGAACTAGAATATAAAATGACAAACGAACAGTACACCAAGTCAAGGTAAAAAAAAACACGCAGAATAAAATTGAAATTCTTTACATCAAACTATTAACTTAAGTTATATATTAAGTTGAGTATTACTCGAGAATTGACCGAGTATAAAAGCTTGATCAGCTCAGCTGTTTTTCAAACTTCTCCTTCCTCAGCATGTTGTAGTGTAAACAGCTTTATAGGCAAATAAATCAAATAAATTTAAGACCATTTAAGATTTCTATCATACTTACCAAACCAAATTATAACTGAAWGATCACAAATCCACTGAAACACTGTCMGCCATTTTGGCGGGCGAAATCAATGGGCTCCGCTAAGGGGTTCCTGTGCTATCATTTGTCCGTGATCAGATGGCCTGGGAAAGAAAGTTTCTCTAGAAAGCGATAAGCATGACCACCAACATAAAGAGAAGAAAATCTTGCGACAGTTGTAACTARCGMATAAGCATAGTCATAAGGAACGGACATGTACGTTTTTTTGTGCTTATTCATAAGCTCCTTATGAGAGAATAATCATGATGCAATCTTTCTTATGTGCTTATGTCGAGTGAGAACACACTTTATGTTTACGCTTATCGCTGTGCCTAGTGAATCTTAGAAGCGCGGTGCTCTCAAATGGCCACGGCCCTCGATGTAAAGACTCCCCCTTGTCGTCAATTGTGAATCTCTGCAGCTAATAGGCGTGCGTAACTCACATAGAAGACGCCCTCGGCCGATTAGACACTGCGCCAGTCTCT